CTAGGACACAGACCTTAAGTTCTCTCAGTGCTTTAGTTGTAGATAGACTAATTTTATCCCTTTGGAACATTGGATAGTGCCAGTCATAAATGTATGAATGTAAATCACGATCCAGCAGATACTGTGAGTATTAAGAAAACCATTAGGGACTTGTCCAGTGAATACACATGGGGTGTTATGAAAACTAAGACCCTCGTAAACTAAGACCTAAGACCCCCTAAAATCGAATCCGTAGAAATATGAAGACTAATTGTAACTGAAATAAGCCTAGTCTGTCAAATTATCTTCTGTCCAAACCAATCCGTAAAATATATATGAAGCTGAATTACAGCCGTTCAAAGACTATAAACCGTAAAACAACCACAAACTATCATCTGCGTGATGAGGATCCACTTGTAATAATTTGCAGACATATCAGTATTGAGGATGAAAGTCACAGACTTCCTGTGTATAATTGTACACTGAAAATATGCCTTACCCTGCCAGTAATAGACCAATTATTGGTCTATGAGTTTGGTTGTTTATCTTTGAAAATCGTAAAATTGGCTTTCCACTGGAGATGGATTTTTGTCTTCGTTGCCAGCTGACGTGTCACTGCAACCCTGATGGCGTTACTTTGATCATCAAGTGCATGGTCATTGCGGCGTTATCAGTCAAACATCACACAAAAATACGGGTTTTTCCCTTTTCTGGCAAGGCTATAGCCAGAAAAATGCTTTCTTAAAAGGGCAAAAAAAAAAGTATATGCTCCATTGCATTTTTCAAGAGTTTATTATTTTAGATCGTTGCCATCCTGGAGATCACCAGAAACAAGAATACTGATATGTCTGCAAATTATTATTACATGTCTGTTAACTGTACAAGTCTGCTCAAATTTTAAACCAAGCTAAAAATCGGTTGTTTTTACAACTTAAGTCAGAAAGAATTCTTTATATTTTGTTGGCGTTTCTAATACAACAATAATTCCACTCGCACTTGTTGGATATGATATGATTATAGCCAACTCGACGCTACGTGCCTCGTTCGCTATCTACCATCTCATATTCAACTTGCACATGTGGAATAATTGTTAATTACACATGTTCCTACAATATTTTGTGTCTTTGGTTGCTATGACAAAATGTAGTTTTGACTTTATACTACAGTACATGTATGGCTGGTTCTCGACAACGTGCATTTTTCAGCCTATGGTAATGGGCAGTGAGTTTTAAACTGTAAAATGGATAGTTATATCATTTAAAGCTTCTTTCAGGTGCTTCAAGGTGGCTAAATTAATTATTAAACAAACTATTATTTGAATTTTATACTATGGGATATCTCTTAAAGGTAATAGAAAAACACATGCTAATTAATCTGATCACATATGATGTTTCTCAACTGTTCTAATTCCAAAGGCCATGGTTATAGAGTGTATTTCCATTTGGCCTAGGTTTTATCTGAAAACCTGTTTGAGGGTATGTGCTAAGGGAAATTATTTATAATAATTTAATTTCCTGAAGATTTGGTTAATGTTCCCACTTGAATACATTGTTCACTAAGTTGTTTATTAACATTTTTACCACTCATGCCATCTCTGCCAAATTTTTTCAAGGAATAATTTTTTTTGGAATTTGTCCAGACAAAAACTTGAAAATTCAATAGTAAGTCTGGCAAAAGCTCACTTCTCTGTATTAAGCAGTGATTCTTTCATGAATAGTCACATTCTCAGCTTTTACATTTTTAGTTGTAATCTGAGCCTTTCCACTCATACCTCCAAGCTCACTGTATAATAATTTTTATTATCCTTATAATGCATAATTTTATGTAATTTAAATACTGTTAGCACCTCAGGTTTTTACACTGCTTTTTAAATTTTTCTTGTTTTTCGATGGTTCTCATTTCATCAGCTGTAAGTTAAGTGATTTTATACAACCTCAAGCCAAGTTTTTCTAAATTTTGAGTTAAAGAAGGGTACACTGTACTTAGGTCATAGCCAAGATTCTTTGCTTTTTAGCAGCAGACTTCTCCATTAATTTGTTATTTAATAACATTGTCAAAATGGACATGAATATTCACCAAAGCAGAGCAAGTCGTGTTGCCTAGTTTTCAGCGCTCTAGCTCTTCTAATGGTCTTTATTATTTTCCTTCATCATGTAAAACTCAAAATACTCACAAAGAAATCCCCTTGCATCTAAATTATACAAACAAATCATGGCGAGGTTTTGACTAATTTTCAGTCTTGTCAGATGTGCTTAGCAACCAGAAAAATTTCCTTAACATGTGCTTGGGCCAAGATGCTCTTCTGTTTACATATTAATTTCTTCTGCATCTTGCATTTGTTTTGAACCTTTGTTCAAAGCTTGGGGTCACCTTAAAATGCAATGGGCCAAATATTTAAACGTAGTTTAGCCAGTATCAGAAACCCATAAGGGGTTGAAACGTGTAACTCTCAGATGTTTGCTTTGTCCTATGCTCGTGATTATTCATTTTCAAAAGTACCATATTTGGAATGAGAAGAAGA